CTTTATTTACAAAAACAGGTGGCAAGCCAGTTTGTCAACTCCTATTCTAGATTTTAAAAGATGCAAGAACCAAATGCAACAGATGAACTCAGATGCATTCTGAAGCATCATGTCATCATTACGTCCCTCCCCCCAAACAAACAGTGAAGTATTAACTGAATCTGAGTGGTTTAAAGGCGGTCACTTCTATAGTCTTCTTTCCATTTTTCTGTGCTTGACATTTTTCTTAATAAACATTTTTAACCTATGTATCATACTGCGTTGTACTATATCATTAACTTTTTTTTTTTTTAAAAGATTTATTTATTTATTTATATAAGCACTGGGCACAGTCAGAAGCGCGGGAGGGTGAGAGAATCCACCAGAGCCAGAGCAGGGAACAGAGCAGGCAGACTGACGAAATACACTGCTGAGGGGAGCAGCGGGCAGCAGGAGAGATGTGCGCCCTATGTGGACCTTCGCCGGGCTGCCGGGGATCAAACCAGCGCTGCAGACGCTGCAGGCAGCCTCGCAACCCAGCGCTCAACCGCTGCGCCAATGGGGAGGCCCTATATATCATTAACTCTTTAATGCCTTTCCAATCTCTTTCTCATAAATATGATAATGAGCATTTCCTGTACATAGGTTTTGCACACAATATTTCTTCTTTAAAAAAAAGATTTATTTTTATTTATTTATGCATATAAGAACTGGGGTATAGGCCAGAGGTGTGCAAGGTGAGAGGATTCATCAGAGACAGAGTGGAGAGCAGAAGAGGCAGATTTTACTGAAATACACTGCTGAGGGGAGGCCCTGCACACAATATTTGTTTATTATGAAGGAGCAGAATTATTGGGCCAAAGAGGGAATTTAAATACTCTTGATACACATTTCTAAACCGCTTCCTAAAAAGATTGTACCTTTTTCCAACATCCTTGCTAACATCAAATATTAAATATTGTATTTTCCAAAAATCTACAAAGGATTTTATTGATTTTACATCTGCCATGACAAAAAACATAGAAGATGATATAATACCAAATGGCCAGTGGTATTCTCTAGGTAATGGAATTATAAATGATTTTAATTTTCATACTCAAATTTATTCTGTGCTCTGAATTTTGCATTGCACATATATTGTTTCTGTAATTAAAAAACAAAAGGACAAATATTCTATGATTCCACTTATATGGGGTTAATATAACAATCAAATTTAGAGACAGAAAATACAGTAGAGGTTACCAGGAGCTAGGGAAGGCAGAAAGGGAAACATGTTTAACAGGGACAGGTTTTCAGTTTGAAATAACACAAAAGCTGTGGAGAGGGATGCAGTGATGGGTGCACAACAATGTGAATGTACTTAATGCCCCAAAAGTATACATTAAGAATGGTTAAAATGGGGGGCCTTCCTGGTGGCACGAGAGATTAAGTGTCAACACTACGAAGCAATCTGCCACTACTCACCTCAAGTTCGATTCTCGGCCAGGGAGGTGACCCACATGGTTCAGCAGACCTCTCCTATCTCACCTCCTGCTCCCCTCAGCAGTGTATTTCAGTCAGTCTGCCTGTTCTGCTCCCCACTCAGTCTCTGGTGAATCCTCTCACCCCACTCACCTCTGGCCTATACCCCAGTTCTTGTATGCATAAATAAATAAATCTTTTTAAAAAATGGTTACAAAATGTTCATCATAAATGTTTTCTAATTGTGAAAAACTATAAACAATTTGAATACCCACCAATAAGGTAATAGTAAAATAAATAAACAACTATCAGAAAATGAAACAAGTCTGAGTGAGGATTTGGACCCATGTTTTTTTGACACAAACAGATCCACGGTACGCTGAAAAAAGAAGGCTCTCATATGGAGAGTATGATCTCATTTTCATGTTTTTAAAGAGAAAAAATACAAGTAAATATACACAGAGAAGTCTGGGAAGGCTAGACCCTGCCATGCTAGCCATGGCTACTTCTCAATGTGAGACTGTGGGTGATGATCCTTTTCTTCTCTTTTACACTTCCTGGCAACGGCGTCTGTTACTTTCATAATCAGAAAAGCAATAAAGCTCTCTGAAAAGAGAGTAAATAACATAACATAAGGACAGTGCAGGCCGATCACAGATGAGGGAGACGGAGACTTGTGCACAGCTCCTCTCAAGTGAGCACACTCCGCGTGGAGCTGGCAGCGGGCAATTTGTGAGGGTAGCTCAGCTGCCAGACGGCAGCTCATTTCCTCACCGGCACCCCTATCCCAACCCAGTCTCATCTCCACCTATGCACAGACTGACTTCAAGAGGCCACCGGACACCTCTTACTTAAAGGGCAATACAGTGGGAGCGCCTAAGCACACGAGGACTTAGATATGAGAACGTGGTTTCTGCAAAGAAGGGAAGAAAAACACTGGAGAGAAAATCAGGCAGCACTAGTTAGGCTGTTAGCAGTCAAGCTGTGGCTTTCTCCTTCTGGGAAGCCAGGCCTCAGCCACTGCCGACAAGGCAGAGGCAGGCTGTTCATCACCCTAAACTCTAAATGCCCAAATTAGCCACTCGGTTGCATACCCACGGCCTGGCAGGCCTGGCACCAAGCACCAGGTATGCCTGGCAGGGGCTGCTGAAATCTGAGCCCAGCAGGGTCAGCCTCTCCTTCTGCTGCAGAGCAAGAGCAGGGAGGCAAGAGCAGACTCCGCTGGTGTGCCCCCTCCACCAAGAGAGGCATGCCTGGATGTTAGCAGGTACCCCGCCCCAGCCTGCACTGTCCTTAGCCAGAGGCATCACTGCGGCAGCTTGCAAAAGCAAATTGAAGACCACTGCCTGCTTCTCGCTGAATGTTCAGTAGATGATTCAAAGACCAGTGCTGACCCTGTGTCTAAAGAGGGCCTCAGCCACAGTGCTGAATTAGGGGAGGAAGGGGCTGGGAATCAGCCACAGACGGAATTAGGGGAGGAAGGGGCTGGGAGTCACTAGATGCTGAAGAGAACCTAAGGTACTGTGAGAACCAGAGAGTAGCAGTGCACTGAGGCCAAAACCTGGACAATTGACGGCAACTTTCTGAGCCTCAGTTTCTTCATTTAAATAATGGGAAAATAGGAGCCTTCCTGGTGGTGCAAGGGTTGAGACGCAAACTATGAAGCAATCTGCAGCCACTGCAGCACGAGTTCAATTCCCGGCCAGTCAGGGAGCTACCCACATGGCGCAGCAGACCTCTCCTGACTCATCCACTGCTCCCCTCAGCAGTGTACTTTGGTTAATCTGCCTGTTCTGTTTCCCGCTCTGTCTCTGGTGAATCCACTCACCCCCCACACACACCCACCCCACACACCTCTGGCCTGTACCCCAGCTCTTGTATGCATAAATAAATAAATCTTTTTAAAAAAGGGAAAATAATAATACACACTTGAAGGGATGGTTGTGACATATAAATGTGGGGGTGGACATCAAGCACAAGAAGTTTTCCACAAACTGTGTGGTTGTTTGGGCCTTGGGCTAGTCATTTAATTTCACCAAGCTTAAACTTAACTTTCCCTCACCTATAAAAAGGGAGCTGTGAAGAGACCATGTATGTAAAGCAACTACCACCACACAGTAGCTGCTCAATAAACACAGCCATCATCATTACTGCTACAAGCTGATGGCACAGCAAAGCAGTCTGGAGTTGCCCAAAGACAATGAAATGAATGGCAAATGTGCACGGGGATCCCATCAAATCCAAAACCTGATTGCGTGCTTAAGAGCAAAAGACCGGTGGGCCTCCCTGGTGGCGCAAGGGGTTAAACACAGCACTATGAAGCAATCCGCAGCCTCTGCAGCACAAGTTCGATCTCCGGCTGGCCAGGGAGATACCCGCATGGCCCAGCAAACCTCTCCTGTCTCGTCTGCTGCTCCCCTCAGCAGTATATTTCAGTCAATCTGCCTGCTCTGCTCCCTGCTTTGTTGCCGGTGAATCCTCTCACCCTCCCGCACCTCTGGCCTGTACCCCAGCTCTTGTATGTATAAATAAATTAAAAAAGAAAACAAACAAACAAACAAAAACCCAAAAGAAATATAGACAAAGGAGTTGACTAGATACTTCACCAAAGAAAATATATGAATGGCAAATAGGCATATGAAAAAATGCTCAACATCAAAAAAAAAAAAAAAGAGAGAGCAAAAGACCGTTCCGGAGGGCGAGCATGCGGGAACAAGAGATGCTTCTGCTGCTGAGGGTGTAAGAAGATGAGGAGCCATTAACAGAGGGCAGTTGGGCGGTGTCTACAAGAGACAAACCCTGCTCTTCTAACCTGCCACTCACTGAGTCACACGTGAGGTCAAATACAACAGCCGAAGGTGCAAACACAAGCCTGACCAGCACGCAAGTCAGCAGGTCCGATAACCTCTACCGCTTTGGGATGGAATACAACAGAGATGCGGAAGGGAGGGAGGAGACTACAGATCTGCCCGTGTTCCCAAAAGATAATGTAAAGTGAAAAAAAGTACAGAATAGCATACAAACTTCATATGGCCTTGAATTTTAAGCAATGTGACTATAAAATGCAGAACCTCCCCCTCTTTTTCTTTAAAGAGCCATGCAGAAGTTTCCTTTCTTTTCTGTAAAGATTTTATTTATTTATGCATAGAAGAACTGGAGTAGAGAGGTGCGGGGAGTGACAGGATTCACCAAAGACCAAGTGGGGTGCAGAACAGGCAGCTGAAATACATTGCTGAAATACACTGCTGAGGGGAGCAGTGGAAGAGACAGGAGAGGTCTGCTGCGCCATGTTGGCCAGCTCCCTGGCAAGGATCCAACTCAGGCTGTTGCAGTGGTCGCACTGCAACTTAACCCCTAGGTACCAGGGAGGCCCCCCTCTCTATTTTTCATATACTGTTACTATACCAGGGAGAAGCAGAGGCCTAGGAGACTTAGCAGCATGAGACAAAGGCAGCTATCCTCAGAGCTTTGGGTCTTAATAAAGAGATTCCCAAATTAAGGTGAATACTAAAAACAGTTATTTATCAAGCCAGGCCTAACTGATGAATACTGAGACCAACCTGACGAAGTCTTCCGGGAGCAGATCAGGACTAACACCCAGGGAATCGAGCACATCATTCCGAATCTGGAGCAACAGCTCCGAATCTTCCCCAAAGGTATCAGAAGCCGGATCTCTTCCTTTATCTGTGCGGAACTTCAGGAGCACTGGAAAGGAAAGAGAAGTCACATTAAAAGGCAAATCTCGGGCCTCCCCGGTGGCGCAGCGGTTGAGCGCTGGGTTGCGAAGCTGCCCGCGGCCTCTGCGGCGCCGGTTCGATCCCTGGCTGCTCCCCGGCCACCGGAGGAGGGTCCCACATGGCGCGCAGACCTCTCCTGCCGCCCGCTGCTCCCCTCAGCAGTGTACTTCGGTCCTTCTGCCTGCTCTGCTCCCTGCTCTGGTTCTGGTGAATTCTCTCACCCTCCCGCGCTTCTGACTGTACCCAGTGCATGTATAAAAAAACAAACAAACAAACAAACCAGCAAACAAATAAATAAAGCATGCCTCTATAAAAAAAAAAAAAAAAAAGGCAAATCTCATAGTAATAGATGCTTAGTGATGTTTGTAGCGTCTAAATTTTCTTTTCACTCTACAGAAAATAGTGCATTAATTAAAATGTGGATCAAGTAAAAAGTGAATACACTTTTCATTTATTCAACAAATATAGTCAGAAAGGCAATCAAACTATTAGAAAAACGACTAAAATTATTGCAATGAGTGCCATGAACACATCACAGAAGACCTGACATCCCCTGTAGTATGGTGTCAGCTAAGGCTTCCCTGAAGAAATAACAACTGAATGAAGAGTGTGTGAGTCTGGAGGGGGTGGGAAGGGCTTCAAACAGAGGACGAAGGCCCTGCAAGGACCCAGAAGGGAGGTCAGCAGTGGGAGGCTGCATTCTCGGCAGCAATGCAGGAAGGTCAGCCAAACATTCACTCACCAGCAGGTCATTATAAAGGAAACCTCCCTTAGTACAATTATGTCCAGAAACGGATATTGAATTTTGGTTCAGATATGGCAGCAAATTAGAGCCACTGGATAAGGAGACCCTTATAACAAGGTTTCAGTTGTTTGCCAACCAAAAACACAGTGCGAATGGTGGGCCAAGCACAAGCCCTTTCGGCGACCGCGACACCCTTTCCCCGATGTTCCCTGTGCTGGATAGGTGGCACTCTTGTTCCCCACAGGTTCCCCTGCACGAGTAGAGGCAATACTCCTCCCATATCACAAACTGCTTCCCAACAGAGAGGAGACACATCAATCCCAGGGAGCTCTGGGGCAGAACTTCACACCTGGAAGGAGCTTTACAGTTTACCAAATGCTTCCATTTAAGTCTCTTCAGTCTCTGCTGATTGAAAAAGTGAACTGACTCTGCAAATGACATTCTACCAGTACAAGGGAGCCATCCCTGAAAATTAAGGTGAACTGAAAACTCAGGACAGCACTGAGTTTTAAAAAGGCAAGTAGTTGGGGGCCTCCCTGATGGTGCAAGGGGATAAGTCTCAGCACTAGGAAGCTACCAGCAGCCACTGCAGCACGAGTTCGATCCCAGGCCAGGGAGCTGACCCACATGACGCAGCAGACCTCTCCTGTCTCGCCCCTGCTCCCCTCAACAGTGTATTTCAGTTGGTCTGCTTGTTCTGCTCCCCACTCTGTCTCTGGTGAATCATGTCACCCCCCCACACCTCTGGCCTACACACCAGTTCTTGTATGCACAAATAAATTTTAAAAAGGCAAGTAGTTGAAAACCCCTCAGACTTTCTACTTGCTTATCTTTTTTTTTTTTTTAAATAGAGGCATGTTTTATTTATTTATTTGTTTTGTTTTGTTTGTTAGTTACGCATGCACTGGGTACAGTCAGAAGCGCGGGAGGGTGAGAGAATTCACCAGAGCCAGAGTGGGGAGCAGAGCAGGCAGAAGGACCGAAGTACACTGCTGAGGGGAGCAGCGGGCGGCAGGAGAGGTCTGCGCGCCAAGCGGGACCCTCCTCCGGTGGCCGGGGAGCAGCCGGGGATCGAACCGGCGCCGCAGAGGCCGCGGGCAGCTTCGCAACCCATGGCTCAACCGCTGTGCCACTGGAGAGGCCCTCTACTTGCTTATCTTTTTGAAAGATTTATTTACTTATGCATATAAGAACTAGGGGTAGGTCAGAGGTGGGGGGGGGGGAGGGCGGGAGGAGTTACCAGAGACAGTATGAGCAGCAGAACAGGAGAACTGACTGGAATACACTGCTGAGGGGAGCAGCAGGTGAGACAGGAGAGGTCTGCTGTGCCACGTGGGTCAGCTCCCTGGCCAGGGATTGAACTCATGCCTCAGTGGCTGGTGATAGCTTGATAGTGCTGTGTCTTAACACCTGCGCCACCTGGGAGGCCCTCTACTTGCTTTTTTAAAATTCTTACACATAGTTCAGGCGATGAACAGCCCACTCTCCAACAAGTATCTCAAATTCCCTCTTCAACCAGCTGACCCAGCACTTGCTGGGTGCCTAGCAGAACCAGGTGCTAAAGCATGATGGCAGGTGAGCAAACGAATCTTGGTCTTTTGAGCATAAAGCTTTTGGGGGGACACAAGGAGCCATGACAGATGGTTCCAACAAAGCCCAGGAGAAGCTTGTGAGTGAGTTATCAAGTGACCCAAGAAGAGGACAAACCACAGAGGCCAGGTTAAAGAAGACATGGTCTGTTTCTGAGCTGTGCTTTCCTCACTGCCAGCGTCAGGGAGAGGCCCATGGTCTGTAGTTCTCAGGTAACTTTCACATTCCCAGGACAGGGCTCCACACATTGGAAGCCTTTAAACAAACAAGCAAACACACAAAGAAATCCTCAGAACACCTGCTTGAATATTCTTTTCTGCTGAGAACTTTTCTTCTGCTTCCCGTCACGAGCACAACTCCTGGGACCCTCAATCTATGTGACCACTTGGCAGGCAGCTCAAAGCCAATGGCAGTCCAGACCTGGCTGACAATAATCTGCCATCACACCGCCTAGGCCTAACTTCTAACTTTGCATATATGTTGCTGGAATCCCAACTTGCAGTAAATAAAGGCAATCAAATAAGCCTTTGGGGGCAAGATGCAGAAGGAATCGTTAATCCCTGTGCAGAGCAAGCCTCTTTTCTAACACTGTCCTGTGAAGACAAAGAGATCTGGAAATCTGCTAGTCCAACTGAAGCAGAGGCTACTCCAGACCAACAGTACTGAGTATCAGTGTTGCCTGAACAGATGACAGAGGCGATGCCAAGTACAAGCCACTCCCGCACAGGCCAAGGCCTAGTGGCTACCATGTGGAATGTGAGCCAGGAAGCTTGACTTCCAGCCACGGAGCTGGTGGACAGCAGCGGGGGCCCATGCTGGCTGTCTCTTGTGCAGTCCTCTCATTTCTGTGTCAGTGGGACAGAAGTACCAACTGTCATGAGGGATGTAGAAGAGAGGATAGTTTTCCCAGTCCTCACCACCAAGTTTTTCAACTCTTGATTAGAAAATACAATTCTTGGAGCAATTCTCAAACCATTATTAGTAACAGCAAAAGAAACTGCCTACTATGTGTCAGGCACGGTTTGAAACATTTTTATACACATCATCACTCATTGATCTCTACAGTAACCTGGCAAGGTTGCTGGGTACTATTAGTCTTCTACTGTGTGAAGAAACTGAAATTCAGAGAGATTAGTGGCTTATTTAATGTAACTGCCAAGAAGGAGTGGGATGGAAATGCCACTTAAATCTGGCTTCATAATCATTGCTTCTTAACCTTCATCAAATGCAAAAAAAATGGCAAGCCCATCAGGAACGCAGTGTAAGTGGCCTGGCATCTTGCCTCAACCTCAGGAAGACTTGCATTCAACCACACTTTTGTGAGATGCATTTTCCAGATGGGCCTGCCTTCTCTTAACGAGATCAATGAGTAAGAAGCAGAGGCGGAGGCCACAGAAAACCAAGCCATCCATCTTCAGATAGTAAGACCAGTTTCATCGCAGAAATAAGATGGCACTACGCGCAAGCACAAAGGCTGCCAGCAGCTGGCCCTGATGTTTCTTTGGGTCCCTTGCCTACTCCTGGTACAGGCCGCCTGGATGAGGGCCGGCAGGCTGGCACCGTCCAGATACCTCGCTGACCACATCTGAAGTCTTCTCAGGGCCTCTGGGAAGGGGGCCAGTCAGTCCGGCCACTCATTTGCAGAAAAGCAAACAGAAGCTGTATTTTTCTCTCCTCTTCTAATGTCAGCACTCCAGTTCGCAGGGGTGGAGGGGCAGCAGGAAGCCTGTGTTCTAGACAGGCCGCAGCTTCAGAACTGACCTAGCCCCTGACAACTTCTTGCTTAGTAAATTCTCTTCTTTGTTGTGCTTTCTGCCCTTTCTAAATAGCCAGACACACACACATCACTGTTAACTCGGCACTTCTGAAAAGCACTCCCACCAGCTCCGGAGTCTAAAACTGCCCTGCTAAGACCCAACACTGTCAAGGAAGGAGAACTGCTCTGGCAGGATGACTCATGGAATCGCATCAGAACGCCGCACAGAGCAGAGCCCTGGCTTGATCAACTCCATTGGAACTTTTGCATTAACTCTGGCTGCTCAGTCCAGGGGGATGACATTCATCTCCAGAGACGACGGCCAGTTGGTATTTCTGCTTGAGTTAAAGAATTGCCCATGTTAACAGAAAAGCAAATTGAAAAAGAAAAATAGTTTTTCATATGTTAAAAGAAAAACTGCACAACTGAACATGCTACTTTTGGGGAAAAAAATTAAAACCCAAATTCAATCCGAATCAGTATCAGATTAGTGTTACAAGTTTATAAAACAGTATTATTAATCAACTGTGTTTCTTTCTACTAACTTGTTACATTTAAATGTTATGATTAACTCTTGGAATGACCTGGAATTTGGCTCCACTCCTGGATTACTTGAACGTCCAGAAAAACCAACAGTACAGTTAGTTATTCTCTCAGTAATAGCCCAGCTTCCAAGGCAAAGCACTAGGGTCTCACTTTCAATGCACAGCTCATTCTGTAACTATAAGCTGACCGCCGACTTTGTGCCAGGCCCTTAGCTGGGCAGGGGAGAACAAAATGGACACTTTGCCCTCTCAAGGGCAGTTAGTGAGAGCCATGAAGAAATTCACAAACGAGTTAACAGGAAGAGTGAACTACAAAAAAAACGCTGGGAGAG